AGTTTAAAACACAAAGCACATTGCCACTGCTGTGGCATCACCATCGGTAGCACCATTGTTTTAGTTAAGCTCTGCGAGGGGCGCAGGGTGGTAAAAAAATTGCTGAATATTGGCAGTTTCATATGTCTCAAGACCCTGGGAATTGAGCACCCTGTAGACAGTGCCTCTTTCTCCTTGGAGGAAGTGGATGGGAAGGGCTTTTAAAATCAATGGTAATACTTTGCAAAAAAGTCTTGAAAGTTTGAATCCGTCCTTTAGGAAACTGATAGATGGCCTGTGAAATTGATTCTGATCATGTTATCACTTTATATTATTGGTTTATTAAGCAGTATTAAATATTTTGTGCACAGTAAGCACCTGAACTAAAATAAAACTTAGGCATCCGGTTTGCTAACTCGCCAGCAATGCTGACAATGCTTTTGGTCTGAATCTGCTCCAAGCCTTATTCCAGGCTGGCTTTTTTGTTTTTAAACATATACATAAAAATTAGTTTTGGCCCTTACCTGTTTTTATCTCTTTTGTAAAGTTGAGTTTGATGACAAGATGAAAACTGAGTTGGCAGTTTAGAGGGGAAAGTACTACTTGAATACATTTCTCTTTTATGATTAGTCTGGATTTTTATGAAGTTGGAAAGAATTTCTCAAGTCCTCTGACTTTTCAGGAGCAGGCAGTATCGGTTCCAGAAGTTGTGCAGTTTCTTCAGAAATTCGGAACAAAACAAAATTATTTTTCGATTGCAATAAAAAATTGCAATGTTGGTTCTGTAGTGAAGTAAGCATGGGAGGAGAGGGTGGCAAGATTTATTTGTACTTATTCCAGGAAAGGTTTTAGGAATTTTTCTCTCCCCTCTGCCTTTTAAAGTGTTTCTGTATAACAGGTGAGTGTATATTCTTGATCAGCATTGAATAGTAAAATAGATTCATCGTTAATTTTTTTTCCTAATACTGCAATTGCTTATTTGCATCTATTTATTTATTTATTTTGGGAGGTCTGGCTTTTGAAATGGTTTCCTAGTAATAGCTTGTTATTTTATTTTGTTTCAAGCAATCCCTGCATAGTAGTAGTGGCCCTGTTTTGATGAGCAGCTGAAAACCTCATACATTTTTTTAAGCCAACAATCACTTGTGATAACATCTCTTTGATTACTAAAGGAAAGTTACTGACTGGTATTTCCTTTCAAGGTTATTATGTTGTTAAAATAAAATCTTTTTAATTTTTTAAAGGAAAGTAAATAAGCAGCCATACTCTAAATAAAAATTAGATTTTTATTACATTAGGACCATTTGAGGGGATGTAATTGAATTCAGGTGTAGGCTTACGAGGTTTTCGTCTTACTTAAATGAGTAGTGTAATTTGTCATACGTGATAAAATATATATATTTGGTATCGTGCACTTTTTAATCTAGTGATTTAATTGTGGCATTCTTTTCAGTGTATGCCATTGCTTTCTCATGATACAAGGTAGTTAATACATTTTACAGTGACTTTTGAGGTGGAGAATGAAGAAAGTGATGATAAGTTCTTCTCAGTGTTTTCCTGTTTAATTACTCACTGGTCATGCTACTAGTCTGCTCGTCCATCACCACTTTAGAGTTCGTCCATTGGTATTTGCGTGTCAAGTGTTGAGTGCATAGCCAAGGGATTTTTGTAGAATACCTTTTTTATAAAAAAAATTACCTTTCTCTAAAATATTTTGCCCAAACTCTTCTTTTGGAGTGGGGTATCATAATTTTTATTGGTTCTTTTTATTGGAGGGTGGAGTAAAGGTGGGGAATTATAGGAGGAGGAAATAGAATGATAGTCGAGGGTAGAAAAATATTATGTGTGGACCTTTTTACTTATTGTATAAATGAAATTTCTTGATGGATAGAAGAAGGCAACATAGAGGTGTCAAAAATTGTTAATGTAGTTGACAAACTGTGGCCACAAAAATGATGATCTTGTTATATTTTCACATGAACAATTGTCCTTTATTGGGATTATTAATGCTCTTTTGGAATATCATGGATATCTAAAGGCGATAGTTTAACGGTATTCATAAAGCATCGAATACCATTATAACATCCAGTTAACCCTAACAGCAGTATTTCAGAATCTGTGCCTGTTTAAATGGGGTATCTGTGAATGTACTTGCTCAGGGATGCATGACCCATATCACCTATAAATTTGATTGGAAGCTACAGTGCTGGCATAGGCTGATGGATAGCAGATTAGAGCCCTGATTAACCATGTGATTCGAAGACTAGGAATATATTGTCTAAGCAAGATTCATCAGACGCAATCAGAATTTCAAGTGGTCAGATGAAATTCAAATGTGTATTGTGGCTTTTCCTCCCCTAGTGCTTTTCCTCCTTGGTTGCTTTTTTTCTCTCGTCTCTTTCCCCAAAGCTGAAAAATACTTCTTTGATGAATCTGCTCCTTACCCTAAAGCTGTCTGTCTGTTATTCATCAGAAAGCAGGTTGCAGTTCAGTGAGCAGAAGAAAAGATTTTAATAGAAGCTGTGCCAAGGGCTGTAATGCATCATTTTAGGGCCCTAATTACATTACAATGACAAATATCAATGGTGACAACAGCAATAACCTACATCCTTTAATGGCTGTGCTGGAAAAGGAGTTTGGGCCCCATGCCATTAGATTAGACTCAGTTTCAAAACATAGGGCATTGGAAGTGTGTGTCCACAGTATTATTGGCTGATCACTGAAGCCCAGTGGAAAGGCCTGTAAATAAATGATGCCTCTCCAAAGCTGGGCCCTATGGGACAAAAGAGGCAAAATTAGATGACCATGGAAGCTGCTGTGTTTCCGAGGCAACTTTAGCTTTCAAAGTGAGGAATGACCTGCTTAATTTTATGAAATCACACACATACACCCCACCCCCCCCCGCTGCCAATTAGCCTGACCAGGAAAATCCATTGGCATGACAACTTAAAGAAATTAAGAAGTCTTTTAAACAAAAGGAAACCTTAAAAAAAGTTTGGAAGGTTTCCTCCCTTCTTTTTCTGTTATATATGAGTGTAAACATAACATGAATCAATAAAAAGGCTTTCTTCCTTTTAAAATTTATTTTTAAGAAAATGTAGACCTCCCCGCCCACACTTTGGTTGCTTTGACTTAAAATAGTCTAGGTCCAAAATGAAGGAGCAAATACCCTTTGGTCTTCATTTTGCCAGACGAGTAAGTTTCCTTAGAGTAGTTTTTATTGCCTAGATTATGTAGATAAAGAAGTCAGTTTTCTTATGTGCCCACACATTTTTCAACCCTCCTAGCAAGGGACTATTTTATTTATGTAAACAACATAATGAGGAAAATATGCTTGGCAGATGGTTCTAAGCATTAGAATCATCAGTTTGGTCTGCCCCAAAGTGTCTCATTATCTTTTATTCTCTCCCCCTCCACCTCTCCCTACAAAAAGCTTGACAACCAAATGCCTTTGAGACACAGTGCTTTCAGCCTGGTGAATGCTACTCTATTTTCTTAGCTCACCCTGGAATTTTACCCCATAACCACTGTGGTATGTTCGTCCAGGTGGAGAGTGGTTTGGTGATTCCCATTGCAGCTTTTCATGGTGGTTTAAGCATTCTTAAAGGATAGCTAAATGCTCTATGGGGCCAGTGCAGTAAATTAAATCAGGTCAGCACAGTTGGGTCCTTATTCACTGATGCTCATTGGTGCTGGGTCTTTGTCCATCCTGTTAAGAATGCAGGCTGGACTGGAAGGCTTCGTTTTGAAAACTACATGGTGAATTTGTGTTTTTTGTTGGCTGGCAAAGTTTTTAAGGTGCTGGCATTTAAAAGATTGCATAGCTACAAAGTCGAAAGGGTTGCTGATGAAAGAAGGAAGCCTAGATTGCACAAGCAGATTGTGGCTGTCATTCTGGTAATGACTTAGCAGGGAAAAAGAGCATTTTCGTCCTCTTTGTAAAATGAGGAACTGACCCTGGACGGAATTTATTTTAAGAATGTCTCAGGAATAGTAATTGCTTTACTTTTTCTGCTCTCAATGCTTCTTACCTCTGCTTTTCCCCACCCCATCATTACAGTATAAGCCAGTTTGTGTGTATGTGTGTAAACAACTATGTGATCAGCTATCACATATCAAAATATATAAGGTGCCACCTGAAAATACAAGTTAAATCGAACATCAGTGAAGCTTTGGGTAGCTTTTCAAAGAAAACCTGTAGTGGTGGCATTTTTTTTTTTCTCCCAAACTTACTGTAGCATCCTCTTGATGTAAAAATTCTGTGTTTCCAAAAATTGTTAGAGAATACACCGTTTTCCACCTTTGTTGAAACTTTTGCAGATCTACAGTACAAAGATAATAACGTTCCCAAGGTTAGTCTCCACGTACATACAAATTGCTTTCTGCTAAGTTTAGTAAGATTTTAGCATATTCTAAACCTCTGTACACCGAAAAAACCCTGGAAATTTTTACGGTTGAAGAAAGCGTCCCATACCTCAACAGTTTATAACTGAGAATCTGAATTAATCAGCTGATTTGGTTTGGTCGGGTACTATTCCTTCAGGAAGTTGGGGACTTGAATATAAAATTCCAGTGGCTATATTTAAAGGAAAGACCACACGTGTAGAAATCTAATCAATTGTTAATTGAGAGAAGTTGGGATGTAGGGATGAATGTATTTTTACTATCTAAACTCTTAAAGGTTTAGGATTTTATGAAAAACTAAATTAGAATGGACAAGGGTCCCGTTGTGAAAGCTTTTGGAAACTGATTTCCAGTCCTGAAAATTAAGTTCCTTTTTATATTATCCTGGTGCTTGAAGATTAACTTTTTAAGATGAATGCCGGTTAATAAATTGTGCTATTAATGTGGCACTGTTGTCGCTGCCTCCTTTTAATGGGCTTGCTGATGAGATCGTTTTCCTCTTCCTTAGGAAATACTCTAGCCAGATATAAAGTGTGTCTTAATATCATCCTGTTAATAGTTCGGGAATCTGTAACCAGCTGACTGTTCTTTTTATTGCTTTCCTTTTTTTTTCACAGGCAGAGATTGTCAAGAGGCTGAATGCTATCTGTGCACAAGTCATTCCTTTCCTGTCCCAAGAGGTAAGGCAGTTGGTTTCAGGCACTGGGCTAGAAGTTGCCATCTTAGTGGTTTTGCAGACAAAGGATCATGGAACTGACTCTGGCCTTGTCAGGCTTTTGGTGTTTGTATTTCACATTTCTTAGATACAGTATTCTCATTCCAACTTTTATACCTTATTAACATTCAGTGGAATATAATTTAAATGTGTTTATATAGGGCAACGTTTTCTAATATGCTGTATAAAATTCAGTTGTTAAAATATTTTGCTGTCATTGTGGGATAACTTTTTGAAATATGACTGTCATAATGGCATCTAGTAGGATAGATTGAAAATTGCCAGGGGGACAAGAGTTTGTTGTATACTTTTGTCTCTGGGCATTAAAAGTTGCAGAAGGCGTATCAGATAGAAAGGCTGTACATATTAAACTAATGCAACTTTTGGCTAGCTGCTTTTAAAAAATACTACTTATTATTACCTGATTAAATCTTTATATTGTCTGTGCATTTGGGAAAAGATGTGCAAGATGGACTCACTTCTCTGAGTACCACTTTTCTTAAAATTTGGCTTTGGTAACAAGGGTCTTTGTGCAGTGCCAAGGCCCCGGGTATGGTTCATACTCTTGCTTAGCACCAGTGGATGCACATGCTGTCGTCAGACACACGCTCTGGAATGAGGAGGTGTGTTTCTAGTGCGTGGTGGCTTCCTTGTGACTGTTTTTCCTTTTTGTTTGCTTGCTTGCTTTTGGTAGTTGCAAAGTTTAGGTGAGAGTGCTAGAAACAGATCATTTTTGCTTCTGTATCACTGAGTCCTTCATTAGCTTGGGTAGGCTCAGCCGTGAGAAGGAAGAAGCTAACAAATGGAGGATCTGCATGTCTTGTAGCCACAGTGCTTTGCATTGTGGGCTGAGAAGGCACTGAGGCACTTTCCTCTCACTCTTCAAATTGTTCTTGCAGTGTGTTGTGTCATTGCTTTTCAGGAGAGTGGTTCAGCCGCCTGTCAACCAGTCGGCATGTGCTGATGTCAGCATGGAGCCAGTATTTGAACATGTGTGTGTTATAGATATGTGGATTCCTATGGGACTTCTTATTTGAAAAGAACTGGCTTAGACTTCAGTAACCATGGGTACCCCTCATCAGGTATATAACCCATGGAGGCTCTCATATTTACAACCATGGACCTGTTAACATCCTGGATTCAGCTCTCTTCTGGATCAGAAACAACAAAGCTCTGTTGTGTCCTTTATCCACCTTTAGCTGTGACCACAAAACCACCACCCATCCCAGCCCCATTTAGCTATTTCTACTCAGGATTGGCTAGTGACTAGATTAGATGGAGTGGTGAATGAGTCAAGGGGTGTATTTACATTTCGTTAGGAAGCCTGGCTGCCCTTTGCCTGATCCAGACTGGTGTGTATTTCTTTTTATTTTAAGCAGTTCTGCTCTATGGAAACAGAATGTGTAACCCACAGAGCTGTAACTGGGCTGAGGTGTCATGCCCCTAGGTTGCAGAGAAAAGTTTGAATTATCCCTGGGGTGGTATATTAGACTTCAGGTCCCGGCCCCTATCTATAAGCAGTGGTACGACCTTATTCCCACAGCATTTCTGCAGGATCTGTGGGGTTATGTTGATGGAGCTGATTTGCCAATAGATAGTCTTCCCTCATAAATTAGGTTGTTTGTGTGAGCAAGCCCAGTAGGAGAAGAAGGTGTAAGGTAGTGGTGTTGAGCAAGACTCGACTGGAATTAATTGGCTAAGGAAGTTGTGCCCTGTACCAGAAAGCCATGGGGAGATCCAGGAAACCCCTTTGCTTCTGCTTTAGGCTGGAAGGATAGACGTCATAATCTCACCACTTTGGTTTCCCCCCCACCCATTACTTTGGCATTTCTTGGTTAAAATCTTTGATTCGTGTGTGATGACCTATGTCGTGGTTTTCCAATTAATTCTGTGGCTATCTTTTAATACGTGGACCACAAACATGTTTGTTCCAGTCAAGTCAGGGCCTCCCTGATGTTTTCTGTCTGAACATTGCCCACCTTGTTTTCGCTTGTGGGCTTTCTGTGAGCATCAGACTCCTCGCTTCTACCCTGAGGCCAGATGGACCGTAATCTGGAGGGAGGGGAGGAGGTAGGTTATTAGAGGAAGATGAATTCTATTTCCTGTCTCTTCTGAGGCATGGAAAATCACTCTTGCATGGCTGTGGGCGTCACTCGGTGCCAGGGCTGAAGGTCTGAATCTGATCTTTAACACCGGCTCTCTGTGTGGCGGCCTCCCTGCCAGAACGGCAGCTGTGCCATTAGAATTTATTGTAAAATGTTTTTATTTAAAAATTAAAGGATCATATTTAGAAAAAAAGAAAAACATTCCCTGAAGACTAGCGCATAAGCTATAGGATAGTGGCCAGAGGGATTTTTGAGCATCTGAAGTCAGGCTTTTTGGAGTTCGACAGGAACAAGAGGTGAATTTACCTACATCTCAATGAAGTCTATTTTTAATCTTGCCCCCATGTCCTGGTTAATGTATCTGCTTAATATTGCTTGTGTCATTTGCCACATTTCCTAAAATTAAAAAAAAAAAAAAATTAGTATATAGCATTTAAGGACAACTAGCAAATTTAAAGTACAAGACTTTTCTTAGAAACAAATTGTATAATTATAGCTCAGAAGTACTTAAAGTATGTCTATGTATATAAAAATTTCACAGAAAAAAGTATTTCCTGTTAAGTTTCACTAAAATTATAATTTTGTTAAAAAATGATAGCCAATAAGTATTGTAATGAATGATGTGCTGTTGCACTCCCATGGGGATCTGTCCAGAGTCTTGGGCATTAGACAATGGTATTGCCAGCTCTTGTGATTAAAGTGAGTAACCATCGCTTACAGTTCTTAGAATTTAATGGAACCCCTGATACTTTGTCAGAATTTAAGGAGCCTTTTGAGTCATTAACAGTCTTAATCTTTTTTCCCACTTTCTTCTGGCTTTTAGGAATGGGTAAGACTGATTTATATTCTACACTCCCCCCCCCCCCAATTTCTTCAAAAGACAAATCTCAGGGTAGTAAGTGGGAAGGTTTTTTTCTATCCTGCTTTGGGTCTCATTTGCAGGGGAAGAACTATTAATAAACAACACCTCATTGGAAGAGATGCCAAGACGATGACAGAGATGAGAGTCAGATCTGGGTGGAGTCCCGACCTGCCTGTTACAGATTCCTTGGCTTATCTTAACCAAGTTAAACTGGGTGACCTTTAGCAAGCGATTAGCTTCTCTAAGCCTCAGTTTCCTCATCGGTACGATGAGGTTAATAATAGCATGGAACATATACAATTGCTGTGAGAATGACTTGAGATTATACACGTGCAATTTAGCACATCGTAAGCACCTGATGTTGACTAGCAGTAGTACTAACTGCTCTAGCAACAGCGGTGAGCCTCTGCGTTTCCTGTTGGGAGGACCTGGACCAATCCCCCACCCACTCCTGCTCCTTTTTTTTTCTTTAAATACTTTTATTTTATTGTTGTTGTTAGAACATACACAGCAAACCATACACCAATTCAGTAGTTTCTGCACGTACTGTTGGTGACAGTGATTACATTATTCAAGTTGTGTAACCATTCTCACGCTCCTTTTCTGAATTGTTCTTCCCCCATTAGCATAAATTCACTGCCCCCTCAGGTTCATATCTGATCTTTTGAGTTGCTGTTGTCAGTTTGATCCCATGTAGATAGTTCTTTAAAGAGCATAGTAACTCAAGGCAGGTATTTTTTTTACTAGTTGTTGTTAAGTGTCGTCAAGTCGATTCTGACCCATGGTGACCTTATGTACATTGCCTGTCCTGTGCCGTTCTCACAGTTGTTGCTGTGCTTGAGCCCATCATTGCAGCCACCATGTCATTTCATCTTGTTGAGGGTCTTTCTGTCTTTCATTGACCCTCTACCAAACATGATGTCCTTCTCTAGGGACTGGTCCCTTCTGATAACATGTCCAAAGTATATGAGACGATGCCTTACCATTTTCGCTTCTAAGGAGCATTCTGTCTGTCCTTCCAAGACATGTTTGTTTCTTCTTCTGACAGTCCATGATATATTCAATATTCTTTGCCGGCACCATATTCCAAAGGCATCAATTCTTCTTTGGTGTTAATTGTTCATGTCCAGCTTTCCTATGCATATGAGGTGATTGAAAATACTGTGGCTTGGGTCAGGTGCACCTTAGTCCTCAAAGTGACATCTTTGCTTTTTAACACTTGAAAGAGGTCTTTTGCAGATTTGCCAAATGCAGTACATAGTCTTATTTCTTGACTGCTGCATCCATGGGCATTGATTGTGGATCCAAGTAAAATGAAATCCTTGACAACTTCAGTCTTTTCTCCATTTAATCATGATGTTGTTCATTGGTCTAGTTGTGAAGATTTTTGTTTTCTTTATGTTGAGTGTAATCCATACTGAAGGCTGTAGTCTTTGATCTTCATTGGTAAGTGCTTCAAGTCCTCTTTGCTTCCAGCAGGCAAGATTGTGCCATCTGCATATCACAGGTTGTTAATGAGTCTTCCTCCAGTTGTAATGCTGTGTTTTTCATATAGTCCAGCTTCTGGATTATTTGCTCAGCGTACAGATTAAATAAGTATGGTGAAAGGATGCAACCCTGACACACACTTTTCCTGACTTTAAACCACACAGTATCCTTTTGTTCTGTTCCAGTGACTGCCTCTTGGTCTATATACAGGTTCTTCATGGGCACAGTTAAGTGTTCTGGAATTCTCATTCTTTGCAGTGTTATCCATAGTCTGTTATGATCCATACAGTCAAATGCCTTTGCATAGTCAATAAAACACAGGTAAACATCTTTCTGGTATTCTTTGCTTTCAGCTGAGATCATCTGACATCAGCAGTGATATCCCTTGTTTCATGTTCTCTTCTGAATCAACTTGAACTGCTGGCAGTTCCCTGTCAGTGTACTGTTGCCACCACCTTTGAATTGTCTTCAGCAAAATTTTACTTGCGTGTGATATTAATGATATTGTTT